GCATAACCCATGGACACAGTTAATAACGGGGTGAAGGCCTGGGGAGGGGGTGGGAGCAAAGTGGAGGGGGTCAATTGGGGGGGAAAAATGGGACACCTATAATACTCTCGACGATAAAGATAAATAAAAAATAAAAAAAAAGAGGTTAAAGGAGGAATAAGTGGTGATGGAAGGAGACTTGACTTGGGGTGGTAAACACACAATACAATATACAGATGATGTATTATAGAATTGTAATCTGAAACTTATATAATTTTATTAACCAATGTCACCCCAATAAATTTTAAAAAATTAAACTTGGTCAACATTTTGTGGAGCAAATCAAATATTTTTGCATTCAAATATGGGACATGAGGAGGCAGTTACAATCTCTGATCCATGATTTCAACAACCCTAATTTCCTTTCTTACCTTTGAAAACATGGCTGTTAAGACACTTTCTCTAGCCTGGCCAGTGTTCTTCGGCGGTTGAGCATCAAACTATGATCCAGGAGATCACGTTTTGATTCCCGGTCAGGGCACATGCCCAGGTTGTGGGCTCCATCCTCAGCAGGAGGTGTCCAGGAGGCAGTTGGTCAATAACTCTCTCTCATCATTGATATTTTTCTCTCCCTCTCCCTCTCCCCCCTTCCTCTCCCTCCTCTTACTCTAAATTCAATTTTTTAAAAAACATATCCTTGGGTGAGGATTAAAAAAAAATCCATGAGGTGCCTTGTCAATGAGGCTTAGAGGGTTAGTAATGTGCCTGCGGTCAGCAGCTGTTGAGCAGCACTGCTCATTTGAACGCAGGTCTCTTCTATTCAAAAAGCTCAGCTTTGGCTGCTGCCCCTCCTTGCCCTGTGGCCCCTGCCACACATTCAGGCATTTACCACACTCCCTAAGTTGTCATAGTGCTTTCTCCACACAATTGTCCTCCCTGAGGCATACCAGAGATGCAGGCCAGAGGGAAAGAGGTGCATCTGTGGAGAAGGGATCCAGGGGAAGCAGAAGCAAGTGAAGCGGACCCGGATTCCTCTCCATCAGCCTTTCTATCCACAGCACGGGAGACCTAGCTCTGAGCTATGTGGGCAGACTTGGCTGCGTCTGAGAGGCAACTGGTCGAAATTAGTCATCCAGAGAGGATGGATGAAATGGCCTCTCTGTGTGTGAGGGTTTCCCATGTGTTTCTTCATGTCCACTGTCCTTCTCAGTAATAAGCTCAAATAACCAGCCTTTATTTCTGGTTCTAACCTAGAGACAATACTATCAGTGTGATTGTAGAAAGATCCATCAACAGCATTTAGGAGGTGTTGAAAGCAGCCCAAGACAGTTCTTGCCTCTAGGCTGATTCCTCATGGGCTCCCCATCCAAGACTCCTAAGGAAGCAGAAGCTGTAAAAAGTACACCCTCACCTGCGGCATGGCTGGCCACGGTTACTAAATGTAGAGTGTGGGCTGAGTGGAGAGGAGACGAGGAGATGAGTGAATGAGGGAATGGAGCTTGTGCTATCTTTCCTGGAGGAGGGAACCTCAACTAATTCACGTATGTGCTGTAACAGGACACTGACAGGACACAGTGGTCCTGAGAACTTGGTGACATTTGGGAAAGCTGCTGTCATTCTGATTCCCTCTCTGCTACTCCCAGTCATGGGAACTAGGCCAGACTCTAAAATTGAAAGCCAGAGTGCTTTCAGTTGATAGGGTGCTTCCTGGTCCTTCTGTGGCTGGAGGAGATCTACTTCCTGGGAGACAGTGACTCTTTGCCTTGTGTTCAGGAAGAAGACATGTGCAGACAAGATTGGTGGAACCTCGAGCTTCATCACTCAACAGTGGGGACTGCTTCCTCCTGCTCTCTCCCCATTACTGCTTCCTGTGGGTAGGAGAGTTTGCAAATGTCATAGAAAAGGCAAAGGTTGGTATCTGAAAAATAAAAATAATTTAGTTGAGCATCTCTATACACTGACAAAATCTTGTACCAGTTGCCAGATGATTACAAAGCTTCTCAAGTGCCCAATGTTTCATTCTCGTGAGAAGGGTAGATATTGTCCTGAATGTCTCTCCAACGAGCATCTGTTAGGTGCTCATATGTGATATTTTAGAAGAATTATGACCTGTCCCTCCAGGTTTGAAGTCCTGGGTTTGTTCTCACTCTTGTGTAAAAAAGGAACTGGCATATCACTTCAGAATTGCTTATCCCAGGTAACTAATTAAATTCTGCTGCAGACCTAATGAACGAGGATCTCATGGGGAAAAGTCCAGAGAACGAGCAGTTTTTACAATTCACATGATCTGTTGAATTTGAAGAGTGAGAACTGTAGCTCTGAAGAATTGATACGTCTGGTTGTTTACTTTAGTTGCATTTCTTAACTTTGTTGAAAATACCCAACAACCAGTGCCTCAGCTCCTGTGATCACTGGGTTTTCCTTTCAGACACACACCATTTCTGGTCTTGGATTTCAGAGTGTGCTTCTTCAGCTAGCCATGGACTTGTCTACCTAGGTAATGGTGTTCCTCCCTTTTTTCAGGCCTCAGAACTTGCAACTTTAATACAGACAAAGAGGGAACTTGGTTGTAGAGCTACTTATATCCAAACTATTGAAGAAGGAATTAATACACACACTCATGCAGCCAAAGATTTCTGGAAGCTTCTGGGTGGCCAAACCAGTTACCAATGTAAGAGTTTACTGTATTTCAGAGAGTGACAAGACTTAAATATCCTTTCTTCTCCCCTACTTCATTCTTCTAAACCAGCCCCATTGAGCATCTATTGTAATATCCTCTTATTGTTTATATCCCAAAGCTGCTGGAGACCCAAAGGAAGATGAACTGTATGAAACAGCTATAATAGAAACAAACTGCACTTACCGTCTGATGGATGACAAGCTTGTTCCTGATGATGACTTCTGGGGGAAAATCCCAAAGTGCTCCCTTCTGCAATCAAAAGAGGTACAGGGCATGGGAGGAGCAGTCTGCACAGGGCTGCCCAATAAAATAGATAGTAAGTGCCCATTAATGCTAGCCAGTGTCATAGATTGTTTACATCTTTTGAAAAGATATTTGTTTGTAATTTCAAACCATTACCACCATCTTAAATACTAATATAGAATTTAGAGTATTGTTCAGAGAAGGTTCAATAAATCCTGGAAGGTTTTTCTATTTTAGGCAAAATGTATATATTAGCCCTATCTCTTGATTTTTGTATAAAAATTAAATAAAATATTTTTCAGTCCTTAAGTTTCAGGAATAATAGATACATATAATTTCTTTTTACATACTGTTTTTTTCTCTCACACCACTGAATATTTATTAAGTACATACATTTCCAGTACTGTTAAGTAGTTTAAGTGTTGAGAAAAAAAGTGAAAGACACAAAATTTTATTGAATAGAAGAGTATTATGAAGACTGTAATCTGAAGCTAGATTGATTGTATAATATGTATGGGCATTTAAATGAAAAAAGTCACAGAAAAAGAAATAGGAATAATTTTAAAGAGAAAGTGAAATTGAGCCTAGTTTGAAATTAAGTAAAATTTGGATTATTGAAAATGAAGGGAGAAATTATTCTAGGAAGAAAGAGTAGAACAAACCGTAGGCACAAAGTACGAGATAGCAACCCATTCATGTATTCATTCAGCAAAGAGTAAACCCTACTATAAATATAAGTATGATATGGTCTCTGCCCTTGAGGGTCTTGAAATTGTATAGAGGAGAGATCCCAACACTCGGTCCTCTGTGCCTGGCATGTATGAAATGGCCTATATATGCTAAGCGAAAGAACAAATGAATGAATGGAGGGAGGGAAGTGGGGAGAGAAGAAGAAAGGGAGGGAGAGAGAGAGGGAGGGAGGAAGGGGAGGAAAGGGAAGGATGATAGGAAGACGTCCTTAACTCTTTGATGAATAAGAAGTTTTAGGTGGTCTGTGTGTTCAGAGGAGGGACCATTAACTTGAACATTTAGGACAGAGACAGAATTCTACCCAGGGGGTAGAGCTGGCTGGACAGTGCCAGCTGGTAGATCTTGTTATCTTGTGTTTATATTGACTACTCCATCTGGGTTCATATCATCACCCATTTGACTCACTGTCAGTAGGGAACCTGATTCAACTTGAGCTTGTCCTTGAAGTAAATTCTTCTGTGCCATCCTCCCAGGTACTGGTGTTTGATTTTGGTAGTGAAGTTTACGTGTGGCACGGGAAAGAAGTTACATTGGCACAACGGAAAATAGCATTTCAGCTGGCAAAGCACTTATGGAATGGAACCTTTGACTATGAGAATTGTGACATTAACCCACTGGATCCTGGAGAATGCAATCCACTTATTCCCAGGTACTCCTGTGATCTTTGAAGGCATTGTAGAGTGAGCAGATTCCCTCAGGGGCCTCAGTTCTCTCCTCAGTTGTCTACTGTAGCTCTTCATAGGTTTTGTTTTCATAAATTACTACCATGCAGTACCATGAATATTCACAAAGGAACATTTTGTTTCTTTTAATTTTTTTTTTTTTAAATTTTCACCCAAGGATGCTTTTTCCATTGCTTTTCAGGGAGGGAGGGAGGGAGGGAGGGGAAAGAGAGAGAGAGAGACATTGATGTGACAGAGACACATTGATTGGGTTGCCTCCCCCATGCACCCTGTGACCAGGGCCAGGTATAGAGCATGCAACTGAGGCATGTCACCCTGGCTTGAATCGAACCCAGGACCCTTCAGTCCATGGGCCGACACACTAACCACTGAGCTGAACTAGCCAGGGCATGGAAGATGTTTTTTATATTTCATGCCTTAAAGTGAACAAATTATTCTCACCTGCAGCATTCCAGGTGCTATTGTGACAGATGAATAGCAATTGTTTAAACAAATTACATGTTGATCTGAAACTTCCCAGTTTCTGGAATCCAGCCGTCAATCTGCAGGTGTAAAACAATACATTTCCTTCTAATGCCACAGTATCCCATCATAGCCCTTGAATTCCAGGGTTTATTATTTATTTGGCAGTAGGTGACATTTATGCCTTCTCTTGGAAGGAGGGGGGAAGATATGGAATTAAAATAATGATTGTAATTTTAATATTTTCTACAGTGTACTGGACTTTTTAAAGTAATTTGGGAAATCATAAGAATATGCACAAACTCAAACAAATACGATCAGAAAAAAAATAATTCTTTATGCAAAAGGATTGTTTTTTTCCATAACAACCAGACAAAATTGTTTGCCATGCATTAGGCTAGAAATCAGATAAAAAGTGTGTGCCACCAGATATCATAGAATATTAGGTATCACACAACTGCATTTTAATGGTTTCCATTGAACTAGTGTACAAATTTCAACTTTCCTACCGGTTTCCTGTTTTAAAATCAAATTATTGATTTTATTATTATCAAATAGAAACAATTAAAAATTCTGTTGAACAGGTGAAAAGTTTTCAAATCCTTTTAAGCAAGTGCACATTTAACTTAAAATTAGTACTGTAATGACTAGCATTTTTAGACAGAAACTAAGGCTAAAAAGAATATTTTACTTGGTATAATAAATGAAATGTACAATGCTGAAGCATAAAATCCGTATGACGGACAATTCCTATTTAGCAATGACATGTCCACAGATCTGGAGGCAGATGAGGGAGCACTCAGCCCCCAAGTTTTCAACGTCTCCCAGATCAGAATCAACTGAAGAGTTTTTTAAAAATGCATGTGCCAGACCCAGCCCTAGAGATGTGTTTTCAATTTGTGTGAGGTGTCAGTATGTATTAAAAGCTCCCCAGAAAGTTTAAGGTGCAGCCAAGATTAAGCATCAAGGAGGCTGAAACCACTGAGGTGCCATGACTTAGTCCAGTTGGACAATGTGCTAAGTGGGAATGGGGACAAGCACGCCTGCTCCCGCTCCTGTTCCCACCATCACACTGAGGCCTGTTCCCTGTCATGTTCATGCAACTTCACAACTTAAAAGACACATTTCTAAAGCTGACACCAAGTGCATTTCCTATAGGCATCTCAGCAAGTCTGCGGAGTCAATTATAAAAAGACAGTCATCCAGACATTTCTGGTAAAGACCACAACCTTTCAAGGGAGCCCTGCATTTTCCATAGTTGCTGATATTTGGTTCCTTAAGACCCCGGGAGTATGAGGCAGCAGTATTTGTACCCTGTTTCGGTTTCCTTTGAGACACCACCCTCTATGATGTGCCTTAGCCATGATCTCAGAAACTAGTCTGGTCCAAAACAGGAGGTGATGAGACAGGAGCCACAGCAGGGTCCAGTGACCACTGCCTGTTGCTCTGAGGGGACACATGCATCCCAGTCACGATTCAGAGCCAACAATTGATTTGGAAGGATGAGAAGTACCTGCACCTTCTTCTCAGGGTTGGACCCTCTATAGCATGTATTTTCTCAGGCACACCTCGTTTTATTGCACTTCATAGATGTTGAGTTTTTACACATTGAAGGCAAGACCCTCCACCAGCAAAAAGATCACTACTCGCTTTATTGCGACACTCACTTTATTGCGGTGGTCTGGAACCCAACCGTAATATCTCCGAGGTATGCCAGTATCTTTCTCTAAGTCACCTTTTATTTCAAGCACAGGTTCACATTCTGAGATCCTGAGGCAGGACCAGACCTGCAGGTTGGGCTGCTTCACTTCCTTCCCTGTGTCCTTATACTCTCCCTGCCTACTGTCGTGTCCAGTGGCCTAGAAATAAATATGCAAACATTCACTTTATGATGTATGAAAGCATGTTCAGTTTAGTAACAGAGGAAAGTAGACTGGAGAGTTTTGTTGTAACATGACTTAAAATAATAGAGTTCAGGTGAACTCCCATCTGTTCAACTTGACAGAAACTTGTTGAGCAACTGGAGGTACCTGTGGGTGGCATGAAGGAGGCCAGGAAGATATGCATGTAATTCCTGCCTCACCCGCTCCCAGTTTAGTGTGCCATCTCCAGGCCATCCTGAATACAAGTATTTGCTAGGATGTAAGAAAAGTCCAGTCCTTACATGGTTCGCCTTGCATTTCAGCTCATCAACTCCTTGGACAGAAAGCTTTACAAGGCTTCAGGCTAAAATAATAGAATGTCACTTATTTGGTAAAATAAGTAAAAACAAACCATTCATTCTATATACTACTTATGTATGCTGAGGGTTTTTTCCCAATAACCATGTGTTTGTTTTAGATTCCTTTCTTTTGTTTTATCATGGCTTAACCTTGGTTCTTTCCCTGTCTGCACCCCCACCCACCTACCTATAGGAAAGGACAGGGGCGGCCTGATTGGGCAATATTTGGGAGACTTACAGAACACAATGAGACTATTTTGTTCAAAGAGAAATTTCTCGATTGGACCGAAATGAAGAGACCTAATGAGAAGAATGTCGGTGAACTTGCCCAGCAGAAGGTATTCTGGGTGGCCAGGCCTCAAACCTCAGGGCTTGGTTTGGGTCCCAACAGTAGAGACCTGAAAGCTAAAAGCCTTTCCAGGCTTTACTAGTAGAACAGCAAACCAGTTTCCAACTACATTCCAATTCTGAGAATGAAAATAGCCCTATTTGCACCTTTGGGTTTTGGGTGTCCCGCTCACTATGGTGGGGTGGGTTTTCAGGCCTCCCTAAGTCTTTCCCATAAATACAGCTTTCCCTAATGCAGTTCAACACCCTGAGATGAAGTGTGAAAGCTGTGCTCTTACACTGTCCCATTAATAGTGAAATTGCATTGAGTATGAGACCAAACAGTTGGAGAAATAGGCAACTGATCAGACGTTTTTATGTTCCCTTTTAGGAAGATTCTAGGGCTGAAGTCAAGCCATATGACGTGACCCGGATGGTGCCAGTGCCCCAGACAACAGCTGGCACTGTGTTAGATGGGGTGAACGTGGGCCGTGGCTATGGCTTGGTGGAAGGGGATGACAGGAGGCAGTTTGAGATTGCCAGTGTCTCTGTGGATGTCTGGCATATCCTCGAATTCGACTATAGCAGGCTCCCCAAACAGAGCATTGGGCAGTTCCATGAAGGGGATGCCTATGTGGTCAAGTGGAAGTACATGGTGAGCACCACAGGTTAGTGACCTACGTTTCCTTCAAACTGAGACCCGGCTCCAGCACCAACGTGGGGAACCACAGGGTTGCCGGAGCCGGCCTCTGCGTGTGCCATGTCTCACCTTGGCTATGTGAGTGTAGTGCACCAACATACTCATCCGCTTTAAGAACCACTTAGTAAACCTATAGATGAATTCCTAACCCAGTATTGCTAACATCCGGGACATTTCTTTATAGAGATTAAATTTGCCTGTTGAGGTTTTTCCAGGACCCTCATTCCCTCCCCTGCCCTGTCCCCATAGGTTTTCCAGCAAAGTGAAGATTTGTCTCCAGATAGTATTTGCCATGTGGATGGATGCTGCTTAAAGTTGTTAAGTAAAGCATGCCTGGATGATTTAGAACTGAAACCAAATCGTGTAGAAACATTATAGCAAATATACACACACAAAAAGAATATTAAAAATGAAAAAAGCTATTTCCAAGGGAGGACAGCAAGTGTTTGAAGAGAGAATCCCTTTCCTTTACCAAAAAGTAGCTGTTACCCATGTTGTGCACAGTGTCCATCATCCCTACCCATTTAGCAGGGAGTTTACGTCACAGCTCCAACTTTCAAGATTCAGCTCCAGAAGAGGTGATTCACCTCCTTATAGTCCCCTTGCCCTCCAGGTGGTTTGCTGAGCAAACACCTGCAGACTTAGAGCCATTTGATTTCTTTCCAGACTTATCAAAAACAAAGCTTTTAATCAATTGCACAGCATTTACTGTGTGTTAGAGACTTTTTATAGGGAGCAAGTAAATATTTCAGACCCTGCCTTCAAGAAGCATGTGGTATAAATAACAGTGAGGCACAGACAGGGGGAGGCAACTACCTCGTGCTAAAGAGGAGAGCTCGATCCCCTGAAATGGCATCTGCCCACAGTGGGAAAGCAGGGCAGGAGGCTGTGTGGGGTTGTGCCCAGAGCTGGGCTGCAGGCCCTGGGACCACCCAGCCCACAAGGTACATGGTGGGGCTTTACCTCAGGCCCTAGTTGAGTGTCTGCACAGCAGGTTCATGAGATGTGTTCTGTCCTTATGCTCATTTTTCAGATAAGGATCAGGACACCAAGATTAAGTAACTCACCTGAAGTCAAATAGCTGGAGAGAGCTGAGCTGAGCACTGAAACCATTTTCCCTTTCATAAGGAGGCCCTGTCACTTAGAGGGAAGTTCATGGGCCTTGGAGCCATATGGCTTGGGTCTGAATCTTCTCTCAAGCCCTCCATGCCAGTTCTGCAAGTTGGATAAAGTTAGTTAACCTCTCTGAGCCTCGGTTGTCTCACCTGGAAAATAGAGATTATAACACCCAGCTCACAGAATATAGTATGTATAGTGTTTAGCACGTGCCTTGCTCGTGTTCACCTGGTAGGTGCAGGAAATAATTGTCATTGACATTCTCAGCAGCAACAGCATAATTACTACCTTTAACTTGAAGATGAGGTAATGTGGATTTACCCAAAACAACAGCAACTGCCATGAGTCACTAGGTTTAAGCTCCTTGATATGAAGCAGAGTTGGCAAACTAAAGTAATAAGCTGTGCTGCAGGTTGGCCATAAAAACAGTGAGAGAGAATTTAGTGAGGGAAACTACTAACCTTTGGGGTTGTGGAACAGGGAACTTTAAGGAATAACCTTTGAAGACACATAGTTCTTGTTCTTAAAATACAAGGGGAACCACATGTTTTATAAAAGAGACCAAGGGGAGCTACAGTGTGAAATTGAGTCATTTTCTTTCTTTTTTTTTCTTTTAAATAAGATTATATTCTGAGGTTCCAGGTGGATATAAATTTTTTTTAATGTTTTTTATTGATTTCAGAGAGAGGAAGGGAGAGGGAGAAAGAAACATCAATGATGAGAAAGTCATTGATCATCTGCCTCCTGCACACTCCCTACTGGGGATCAAGCCTACAACCTGGGCATGTGCTCTGACTGGGAATCGAATCGTGACCTCCAGGTTCTTGGGTCGACACTCAACTGCTGAGCCACACCAGCTGGGCTTGAGTCATCTTACCTGAGCTGTCGATAATAAAAAAGAAGCAATAGCAAGTGAAAGAATGAGTGAAGTGAAATGAAAATAAATTACCAAAATAAATCTAAAATTTGAGTTCTTCATAGACTATTTACTTGGAGGCCCCTAAGAAATAATGATTTGAGCCAGGCAAATACTTGCTGTATTTCTTCCCAATAGACAGTGTGTTCAGTTCACAGCCAGATCCAGCAGTATTTTTATGAGCAAAGTTATAACTTTGAAGTAGTCCAGCTTCAGAGAATTAAGTTAGAGTGGGGAGCATTCAAATTCCAGACCATCCTTCTGGGAGCAGAAAAGCTTAGACCCATGGCATTTGCAGTCATGCCCTGGTCCTCCTGGAAGCACTGGTCCTTTGGTGACTACTAGTCCAGCTCCTCATCACTCATATCCCACAAGGGCTGCATCTGCAAACAGGACTGAACTCCGAGCTCAGGATGTTCTGGGACAGGCTCAGCAAAAAGCAGCAGCTATAAAGGTGGTACAATCATCTTCTTAGTGGATACTGGCCACTTAGTACAGGCACACACAGAGGCCAACTCCTTGGGTTCCACAGAAGGAGGCTAGAAGCCTCTGTGGGTCAGGGTCCTTCCCTAGTCACCACCTCAGGGACAGCATGGCATGGCTTGTGCCCTCAAAGGTCAGGAAACAAGCTGCTTGAGATGCCCACTGATGCTGGGTCGGGCGCTTGGAGCATGATACTGGTCAGGTTCCTCTAACTAGGCAGTCGGTAAATGGGGTTCTGCTCTAGACCACTTGACCATAAGCAGTTCTTCATATTTCAGTTTTCTATTACTCCTAAATATAACTACTGCTAACAAACGTACTCTTGACAGTATTTTGAGGGCATCAACGCTGTAAATTAGGCATTTGATCAAGGCTATAATGATTATAGTTCAGGAGTTCTTACTAATAAAAGCTCAGTTTTTCCTTTGCTAAAATTAAAAATAAATAATTCAAAAAGTAAGTTGTATATAGGGTTACATTTGAGTATGTTGAAGAAAATTGCAAGAAAAATTAGTGAAAAGTCTGTTTTATGAAATATTTTTAAAGAAATACAGTTCTATTTTAGGTACATACACGCAAGTCCATTTCAGAACGTTAGGATATAAAACTGGTTATTGAGCATGACTATATATTTACACAATGTATTTAAGTGCTAACAAATCCCAAGATAGCTATCAACTGCTGTGATCTATTATAAGTATATCTTTTCCCTATAACCTAGTTATTAACACCACCAAATTTCACTACTTTGAAGATTGCTAATGAAAGACAAACCTTTGTTCCTATCTAAATCAGCATAAATTTCAATCAAGTACCTTCCAACCTAACTGTGGACATTTATAATCTGTTCATTGATGATTGCTATTTCACTTTCACACATAAAAACACAATCTTGACCAGTTCCAGGTGTACAGTAGATTGCTCTGAAGGCTGTGCTTAGTCAAAATACTTTAAGAATTAGCCCAGCCGGGCATGACTCAGGGGTTGAGATTCAGCCTAGGATCCAGGAGATCGAAGTTCTATTCCTGGTCAGGGCACATGCCTGGGTTGCAAGCGCAATCCCCAGTCGGGGGCATGCAGGTGGCAGCTGATCAATGACTCTCATCATTGATGTTTCTATCTCTCTCTCCCTCTCCCTTCCTCTCTCTGAAATCAATAAAGATATATTTAAAAAAATTATAATCATTTATGAACTGTTATTGAGTACTTTGCTAACAGGTAAATAAATAAATAAATAAATAAATAAATAAATAAATAAATAAATAAATAAAATTGCTTCTCACCTCTTAAGAACTTAAATAAGTTTTCTTCTTACCTTCGAACCTCAGGACAACTGTGATTTGGTAAACGGGATTGGAACTGAGAAAAATTAAGGTAATATAGAGCAGGGAGTCCAGTTATTATCATTCATTTTTAAGGAGCGTAATGGGTATTAAAACCACCTGCATCCTTCCATTGCTGATCCCCACTTACTAAGCCACTGAGCATTTGAGTCAAGAACTTGGTCTCCTGACCTTTCTCAGTCTAAAAGGCTCCGCCTTTTAAGTCATTGTCATTCAGACGTCCACTCACCCACCTCTGCAGAAAGGCCTGCCTTCCACAGGAAGTCCCTTGAGCATTCACCCTCGCCCTGCCTATTTTCCTCATCACTACCACTGTCTCAGAGGATCTTGCTCATCTGTTTGTTTATTAGAGTGAAAGCAGGAAAAGTGTCTATCTTGCTCATCCTTGTAGCCCCAGTATCCTAAAGAGTTATCTGGCACATAGTAGGTGCTCAATAAATATTTGTTGAGCAAATGAATGAGGAGAGTCTAGAGTGAGATCATCCTTAAAGATAGTGATTTTGAGGTCTGAAGTACTGTCTAAAACAGCCACTTGACCAATTAACTTTTTGTGACTGTTCTTCAGTGAGATCTGCCTTCTGTGGGCTGCTAAATGTATCAAATGCCTGCAAGGCACCAAACTGTAAAGATAACCAGCACTTACTCCTGGAGACAGCCCTGGTGGCAGATATTTAAATCCCACATTATTTGATGAAAGTGATATGTCAGCAATTCATCTCTTCCATTTCTGACAGAACTTTGAGACATCCAAGTGTTTTTTTCCCTAGAATAGTTTTAACAAACTAATTTTTTTCCTTTGTGCTTAAAGCTGACCCAGCTGTTGTTTTCAGTATCTTTTCTCTACCAGCTAATCTTTTGCCAAAGAGCAGTATAATACGGAAAATGTGCTTGTGTCTTTGCTGTAGGTCCCACTCTGGTGTCACCACTTTCTCTGTCACACTTGGAGTGTCTGCCTCCTTCCTCTAGGATGGCAGGTGTTATCTTAGGGCATCAAGGGGGCCTGTCAGATCACATCTCTCTGGGTTGGAGTTGCAGGATCAGTTAGCTGGAAGAGGTGGTTTCCTCTTGTCCTGCAAGTATGATTTACTTCCCCTCCAGTGATGAATAATTTCTCCTCAGCTCTGATGTCCAAAAGCTATTTCTCTCCTGTTTGCCCTCAGAGAGCCTGAGAGCCCAGCACTTGCCTTCTTTTGTCTTATTTGCCACTCATCTTTCCCTCTGCTGTTCTGTGTGTTTGCAGTGGGGAGTCGGCAGAAGGGAGAGCACTCCATAAGGGTGGCTGGCAAAGAGAAGTGCGTCTACTTCTTCTGGCAAGGCCGGCAGTCCACCGTGAGTGAGAAGGGCACGTCAGCTCTGATGACAGTGGAGCTGGATGAAGAGAGGGGTGCCCAGGTATGTCCTGAAGAGTGCTGCACCAGAAATGAGAGTTGGCCTTGCCAGGACCCTACCGTGTGTAGCCTGGTCCCCTAAGGACCCCATTCTAATGAACAAAGACAACTCACGCAACATACTTTTAGTCCTGGTCAGCTTCTCCAGATTTCAGGCTGCGCCTCACTTTTCTCCCCCCACCACTAGGCCAGGAAGGCCCACCTGTTGTAACATGATCTTCAACAAAATGTTGTATCTGCAAATAGCAAATCCACAAAACAAGGACAAAGGGCCAATGAGTCTTTTTTAAAACTAATCACCAAGGAATGGCAAATAAAACAAAGAGATGATATTTTCCACTTCTAAACTTGGTAGAGGTTTTTTTTAAGGCTGGATTGGGGTTGGCAAGGGCTCAGTGGGGTGAGGACCCTGCATGCTTCTTCTGGAAGTGTAACTTGAAACAGCCATCCTGAGAAACAGTTTTGGCTCAAGAACCTTAAATGCTTATAAACTTCAGTCAGTTATTCCACTTACATAAATATACCCTAAGGAGATTTCAGAGATTAATGTAAAAATTAGTATTTCCAACATCTGCATTCCTCAGAGTAGTCGAGTGATTTTTCCAGACCAGGACAGTCATGTTACCCCCTTGCTCTTCACCACACTTGGCCTACAATCTCAGCAGCCTACCCGTGGTCTACCAGCACCTTCATGGTTGGCCCTGCACAGCTCTCCAGCCTTCCCTGCTCTCGCGCAGCCCCTGGCTGCTCCAGTCTTCCTGCTGTTCCTCAGATACACCTCTTCCTGCCCACCCTGGGCCTTTGCACTATTACCCCTGTCTAGAACACGTTTCCTGAACCTGTATGTAACTCTGACCCATATGATTCAGGTTTGTATTCCAATGAGTTATTTTTTTTATAGCACTTACCACTATGTAAAACTGCATGGTGGTTTTGTTTACTTATTATCTGTCTTTCCCCACAAACATGAAAGAGACCATATCTGTTCTGGTCTTCATCGCCATTATAACCCCATCGCCATTATAACCCCAGAGCCAACATAGTAATGGGCAAATACCCACAACCAAGGTTTTATAGACATTCTTTGTAGTGTAGTGCCTCGGGTTCCATTCTTCAGTACCAGTAATTAAGAGCTGACTCTGGGGTTTTGGAGAAACATGACACCATGTACAGATACTTTTACTATCTTGGGTGAACAGTGAACAATAGCAGGAGGGGAGAGAACAGAGGAGCTTTCTCCAGAAACAGAGCAAACTCACACAGCTTTCCAGATTCTTAAGAACCAGTCCTCTTCTACTACAGACTATATTTTACCAATAGTCGTTAGTGACCACTGCATTTTCATCTTTCATAATAATGGGTAATTTCAGATGCCTTTTTTTTGTAAAGACCATGAATGAATGCCCTCAAAATCATCTTTAGAGTTCTGAGTCTTAATCTCTCTAGTTGAAGCATTTCATTTTTTATCAATCCAACAGATGGAAAATCACTTTAGGCATATAAAACACTGCCACAGAATGGCACTTACTTATACAAAATGGGCCCTGAGGTTGATAATTTAACTCATGGTTAGAAATGCTTCCTACCTTCAGTGCTCCCCGACTGCCAGCCTCCATAAACAATGTCCTCTGTAAGGGAACATGTCTTGCCAAAGTGAGTGTGAGTTCACTCAACCCTGACGTTATTATGGTGCAGCTAACACCCGATGGAAGAGGGGAGGGGAGGGGAGGCCGTGGTTGGTAGGCACAGGCTGTGATTAAACTCTTGCAAAGGTTACAAAAGAGACAGTTCTTTCCCTCAGAATTACTAAGTCAGGTGGTTAGTCATTCTCATTGCTCAGAGGTGTACTTTGTTAAAAATGTGTTTGTAGCAGTCATGTTACAGCTATGCCACAACATACCATTTAAATATCAAAATTCACATTTTAAAAAAGTATTTGATAACAGACAAACTTTTAAGTGAAAAAAATCAGAGGAGAAAGCAACATAAAACAGCAATACTATTTTTGTTTGGAAAAAATATATATCTGAAAAATACTTTGCAAGGAAAGCTATACACTAGATTTTTAATAGTGGTTATCTTTAGATAATAGTATTGTCATTGGCTTTTGTTTGTGTTTCTTGTATTTTTTTTCAGATTTTCTACAATAGGGAGTATAATTTTTATGCCTTTGGAAAACCAATGCAGGTTACTTATTTTAATGTGTTTACATTGGAAGGTCCAGGTTCTCCAGGGAAAAGAGCCCCCCTGTTTCCTGCAGTGTTTCCAAGGGGGGATGGTGGTGCACTCCGGGAGACGGGAAGAGGAGGAAGAAAATGCACAAAGTGAGTCACTTTTACTGTTCTAATTAGATTTTTTTCCTCTCCTGGAAGATATTTTTATAGGCATGGGGGTTTAAATTAAGCCTCCCTTTATATGGTCGTGGCTTTACCACTGAAAGTTTGCTGATGTCTGCCTCATAGAGGAGCTTTATGGGGATCTCTACCC